CCGGGCCTAGCGGTGCTCCACCGGAGAGATCCATGTCCATCCCGGCTTTGTGGGCATCCTTGACTGCAGTGAACTGGCAAATGGATCCAGACAGCCAACTTCTTGTGGGTCTCATTGAATCTTTCATAAGATTCTGTCCTCAGGAAGTAGTCAGCCAACTCAGCCCTTTCAATCGCCTCCTGAGTCCTTCTGTCCTCCGCCTCCTTTTCATTGAGTAGCCGCTCGATTCTTCTTCCAGTTTCCTCAGCGGCTGCTCTCTCCTTCTCAAGCTCAAGCTCCAGAGCGGTCTTGGGAATTTCAGGCTCCTTGCCTTTTCCAGAACCGCCTGAGGCGTTAGAGTCCCCCATCCCAGACAACTCATTTGACAGGAAAAAATAACAATAAAATTCAAGTTAGAGTTCACACGCAGTCAGGACCATAAAGCCCTGCTTTAAAAAAAAAAAAAACACGCAGAACAACATTCTACTCAGAATTACACTGTGCTGTTTACTCAATTAGAGAGAAGGGTTAGGAACTTAGGACAGACAACACATCAGCACTTCATGTCTATAGGCATTTGGGGAGGTTATATGCAACGATTAGCATGGCAGAAAATAGTAAATTGTTCACTGTTATCGCACGCCCAAACTGATCAGAAAGAGATAAAAGTATTTTCAAATCAAATCCTTCCGCCCACGAACACCAACACGATTAGCATGGCAAGAAACTCTTGCAGAAAGAAAAAAAGAACAGAGGGTCGTCTGTTTGATTTTGCAGAAAAAATAAAAATAAAAACCGTAGTTTGCAGGCTGCAGACGAGCAGATGGACTGTGTAGGCTTTATCGGACCGACAATGCAAAAGTTATTGCATAGACTGTTCTGGCATGAGGTACAGACTCTTGAGGACTGACATAATTGACTGGGCTGACACCAGGTCTGACATGGCAGACTAGGAGATGACAGACCCATAGACAAAATGGGAACTGCAGACACATTCTGTGCGCAGGCTCGAGACCCACAGTCAATTGCAGGGAAGGGGCAGAGGGAAAAGCTATGTTTTTATGTGAATGCGATGAATACGCGTTCACGTACAAATGCGGGCGATCAATTCCCACGTGCGCGTTTTCAAACGTGTTCAAACACACCACGTGGTGGTGTGCCGCAATAAAGTGAACGGGCGTGCGTTAGCGGGGCGTGCAGCATGGGGGCTACGCGGGGGCGCGCCTTGTTCAGAAGCT